TACATCATGACGCATTCAATAGTCAGGAGGACAAAATGGCTAAAGAAGAAGATTGAGTTCTTTAAACAATACTAAGGTTAATTTTGGGAAAGGGCCTCGTGTATAGTTGCTGCTCAGTTTTTTATGTGGTTCTTGTTCTTTTAGAAAGTGCTCCATTTCCTCAAAATGAAGGCACGCATCATTTGGATTACTCAAAAAGCTGACAATCTTGCTGGAAAGACACTTAAGAATTCCAGGGATGGGGATGTGATGCTCAAGCAGTAGTGCTGGGAGCTGGGTTCGATCCTCAACACCACATAAAAATAAAATAAAAGATGTTGTGTCCACTGAAAACTAAAAAATAAATATTAAAAAAATTCTCTCTCTCTCTCTCAAAAAAAAAAAAAAAAAGAATTCCCAAAATAGAAAGTGTCACAAGAGGGGCTGGGGCTGTAGCAGCTCAGTGATAAAGTGCTTGCCTTGCATATGTGAGGCACTGGGTTCAATCCTCAGCACCACATAAAAATAAATAAAGATACTGTGTGTTTATCTACAACTAAATAAATATTTTTTAAAAAAAGAAAGAGTCACAAGATGATACAAGACTAGTGATAACAAAATGACCCCAAAGGCTGTGCTCTTGACTACTATGCCTTTTTACACTATGGTTTGGGGGATGCACAGGAGGAAGCAAACAGAAAAGATTGCAAGTAGACATCTCAATTAGGAGGCTATGTGTAATCATCATGGGGTCAGTAGTATACCTCAGGGTAGTGAAGATGGGCATAAAAGGAGAGGATGGTAAAGAGAAACATTTAAGAAAAAACAGGCCTAGGGCTGGGGCTGGGGCTCAGTGGTAGAGCACTTGCCTAGCATGTGTGAGGCACTAGGTTCAATTCTCAGCACCACATTAAATAAAGGTCCACTGGCAACTAAAAATTAAATAAATATATATTTTTTTAATAATAATTTTAACAGGCCTAGTTAAGAGCTGCTGAGCATGGTGAAAAAGAAAATCTCAGATGACTCCAAAATGTCAGTGGTGTAAATGAGATACTGCATGTCATCAGTAGAAAGGGAGATGCTAGGACAGGGAGACCATGGAAGGAGGAATTTGATGCATTCAGTTCAGTATATCGTGGGACCAGAAGAACCATTATTTAATTATTCAAGTGAACACATTTGGTAAAGAGTTAACATTGAGTCAGATGAATGGCTGTGCTTAGTAGTGATGGTAAAGCTGTGAGAAGGTTCATGTACCTCAAGGAAGAAATATAGCCCTTCCCTACCCCAGCCCTTTTTATTTTTTTATTCTGAGATAGGGTCTTACTAAGTTGTTTAGGGCCTTGCTAAGTTGCTTGGGCTGGCCCTAAACTTGTGATCCTCCTGCCTCAGCCTCCAAAGTTGCTGGGATTACAAGTATGCACCACAGCTCCCAGCTGCTCTTTGGGATTTTTACTATCTATTGTCCAAAGAAAATGGATCAGTTTGTATAGCTTGTCAGACACAAATAATGCTAATTTCTCAGTTTAGCAATTATAATGAGTGCTTGTTAAATATGTGGTATGAAATTATGTTGTTTCAAAATAATAAAAAAAAATAATTTTCAGAAGTAAAAAGGACATAGGGATAAAAGCAGAGGACTCAAGACTTAATCTTACACCATGATGACAGTTGAGGTGGAGAAGAGTAAAGGCTTAGCCAGAGACTAAGCCTCAAAGAAGTAGGAAAAACTGTCTAGCACAGTACCTGGCTGAAGAAGCAGTGAACAGTGAATTCATAGTTGGTAGATAATTGCATTCAATACCATAGGAGCCAAGTTGTGGAGGCATTGTAAAGAAGGGAGTAATTATCAGTGAAAACTGCTACAGGGCAAGTGTGACTTTTAAAACACCTAGAGAAGCCAGGCATAGTGGTGCACACATGTAACCCCAGCTACTTGGGAGACAGAAGCTGGGATTGCAAGTTTGAGGCCAGCCTTAGTAAGACTCTGTCTCAACAAATAAAATAGACGGGCTGGAGTTGTGGTTCAGTGATAGAGCACTTGCCTAGCACATGTGAAGCACTGGTTTGATCCTTAGCACCACATAAACATAAATCAAATCAATAAAATAAAAGAATTGTGTCCATCTACAACTAAAAAATATTTTTAAAATAGAAAGGGGTGGGGATATAGCTTATGGGTAGAGAACCCCTAGTTTAATCCCCAGTAACACACATACACACATACATGACATACATGCACAAAACACCTAGAGAGCTTGAAAGATTTAGAAGTTTAAGTGGCATTGACACTGATAGCATTCTTTTTATATACTTTAGTTGTAGATGGACACAATACCTTTATTTTATTTGTTGTTATTTTTTATGTAGTGTCGGGGATTGAACCCAGTGCCTCACGCATGCTAGGCAAGTGCTCTACCACTGAGCCACAACCCCAGCCCCCCAATAGCATTCTTATGAGGTAAAAAGGAGGAATAATGCATTTGAGCATCAATGAAAGTTGTGCCAGCTGACTTAATATCTACCTGCTTGCTTCCTATCCCTTAATCAAGTTGGAGTTCTTCCTTTACTTCCTTGGTCACTGAGAAAACATCTTCCTCTCTGGGACCCAGGTTCATACTGTAGTATCAAGCCAAAGGCATCTCGTTACAACCATCTCTGAACACAGATCTTTTCCTTTCCTGGATCTATTCCAAGAAAAAAAAAATCACCCAACTAGTCTTTGGAAAGTATTCCCAGGATATTTTTCTGCTTACTGTTGGTCTTTTTTTTTTTCCTTAATATTTTCTCAGTTGTCAATGGACCTTTATTTTATTTATTTATTTTTTATGTGGTGCTGAGAATCGAACCCAGTGCCTCACACATGCTAGGCAAGCACTCTACCACCAAGCCCCAGCCCCAGCCCCTGTTCTTTTTCTTTCTACCAACTGTTTTGTTGTTGTTGTCGTCGTCCTCGGTGGTGGTGTTGTTTTGGTATCAGGGTGCTTAACCACTGAGCCAGCCACATCCCCAGCCCCCCCCCCTTTAAAAGTTTCATTTAGAGATAGGGTCTCACTGAGTTGCCAAAGCTGGCTTTGAACTTGCAATCCTCCTAACTCAGCCTCCCCAGCCAATAGGATTACAGTCTTGTGCCACCCCATCTGGCTCAATTTAAATACTCTAAGTGTGATTTGGAGAATGGTGTGACTGAGGTGTCTCAGGGAAATTGAAATAGGTCCATCTATTTCCAGTGCATGTTTCCAGTCCTCTAAAATGACATATGCAGATTATTACAAGGCCCAGGGTGTTGTGGCTTGGAAATAGTTGTTTTTTTTCTTTGTTTTTTGTTTTGGGTACTGGGGATTAAGCTCAGGGGTGCTTAACTATTAAGCCACATCCTCAGACCTTTTCATATTTTATATAGAGAGACAGGGTTTCATTGAGTTGCTTAGTGCCTCACTAAATTACTGAGGCTAGCTTTGAAATTGCCATCCTCCTGCCTCAGCCTCCCAAGTTGCTGGGATTACTGGTATGCACCACTGCACCTGGCCTACCAACTGTTTTTAACCCCCAACCTTTATTTTAAAATGGATAATCTGTTTACAAAGTTCAGAAATAAAAACTAAAAGGTATAAAGCCCCATTCCCACTGTTTTATTCCCATTTTGGGGGTGGGGTACCAGGGATTGAACCGCTACCGCTTGAGCCACATCCCCAGCCCCAAACTTACTTTCTTTCCATTCTTCCTCTTTAGTGCTCATAGAAAGAGCCTTGTCACATCAGTGGATAAAGAGCCAGACCTAGAATGTGGGCTTCAGGGGCCTCAGGCCTATGCAGCATAGGAAAATGGCTATCATCAGCCTCATTCCTTACAGTTCTATACTGGAGTTTGAGGCCAAAATCCCAGCGAATGATAAAGGGTTACTTTGCTTTGTATTACACTCTGGGCATAGATTTCCCTGAGACCTCTTAGTGACTTCGAAGGCCTTATAGAATTTAGCCCTAAACTATTTAACAAGAACTTGACTCAAAATTATTTAAATAAATAAAAAGGGCTGGGGATGTGGCTCAGTGGTTAAGTGACCCTGGGATCAGTCCTCAGTAAAATAAATAAATGAATAAATAAATAAATAAATAAATAAATAAATAACTTGAGAGCAGATCTTGTGTTATGTGTTCCCCACCCCCCCCCGACAATTTAAAAAATTATACTCACGGAAACAAATTTTATAAAGGTGAAGGAAGGACACTATCTGAGTAAGCATCTACTGTGTTCTGTGGCTTACATTTTTCCTTATATTTAATACTATTGAAAACAATCACAACAGAGCGGGGATTGTAGGGCAGTTGAAGAGCACTTGCCTAGCATGTGTGAGGCACTGGGTTCAATCCTCAGCACCATATAAAAATAAATAAATAAAATAAAGGTATTAAAGAATAATCACAACAGTACCTATATGTGGTACTATCAGATTTGGCATGAACAATACCATATAAGCCTTAATGTTGTCCTATCTACAGTGTTACTGTAACTGCCAAGCATTTATTTGCTCTACAAATATATGTTAACAATAAAGGATTTACTATATACCTGACCAAAGATATGTAAAGGAGGTCAGCATTTTTTTTTTTTTTGGTATTTCAAGCAGCTGAGATCTGGCTCAAGTCAGAAACTAGCTTTGGACTCTTCAAATTTAAGGACCACATTAATGCACATGGTTTTCTTTTTTCTGTGTTATGCTACCTTTAAAACAGTAATGGGAAGTGGATGATAACATGCCACCTGAATTCTGGTATATTTCTACCATTGACTCAATGCAAAGAAATACTTTCTAAATAAGAAAATTATAAAATGGTACAGGCCTGTAATCACAGCTACTCAGGAGGTAAAAGCAGAAAAATTACAAGTTTGAAGCCAGCCTCAGAAGCTTAGCAAAATTCTATCTCAAATTTTAAAATTGTTTTAAAAGAAATTACAATTAAGCCTCATCAATGTATTAATACTGAGGAAACAGAAAGAAAAATAAGTAAATAAGAGTGTAAATTTAGAATTATACTTTTATTGCAAATTTTAGATTTTTAGCCTTTATTCTAGGAAGGAAAGAAAAGCCATTGTTAGCAACATTCACCCCCCAAATTGGAACTACCCGAACACTTTCTTCGACAGTCTTGCACATTTTATTGATGATACCAGTGCTCATCCCTGAACGCCCCAATGGAAAGATGTCAAAAGATAAAGAGGATAACAGATCTGAGAGGGATCAAGTGACTAACTGTTCCCACAAGCCCAAAGCAAGTATCTGACTGCTTTTTCATTTTAACTGAGTCCCAGCATCAACAAATCACCACTCTGGCTTTATGTAATATGTTTCCCAATTGAATAAAAGAAGCTTGAATATAAAAACACTGCAGATAAAAATTTAAGTCAGAAACTTCCGTGCTTTTATCTGTTTCCAGAGAACATTACTGATATTCTTAAAGTTTCCCAGGAGCCTTAGTGGGCAGAAACTGTAGTTACTACTTCAACATGAAGCAAACCAAAAAAATGTAGCTTAATATTATAGGCTGTTTTTCCCAAAAAAAATCAATCAAGGAGAGGAATAAGGAGAGGAATTACAAAAGAGACTAAAATCTGATCTGTAGAATGAAACACTAGATTATGACCCATTTAATCAAAAGTATGTATTAAACATTGATCACTTTACAGGATCCTAAGTCCCATTGAAGTAATACAAAGATTTCCAAGTCTTGATTCTAGGGCTTGGGGACCTAACAGTCTAAGATGGAGCTTCTCAAAATTTAATGTGTATGTGAATCCCCTGAATATTTATTAGTAGATGATTACCCAACAGATCTGGAGTGGGGCTGGGGATTCTAATCAGTTCTTAGGTGGTGCTGATGCTGCAGGTCCACAAACCACACTTCGAGTAGCAAGAGAGGCACGGATAAAGAAATGGAATAATGTGTTAGGCATTTGGAAATCTATATGGAATACTATGTGAGCACCAAGCAAGGAATGGGCTTTGTATCTGTGTTAGAAAAGGCTTCACATAGGAGGAGACTGCTGGGCTGAGTCTTATTTTCCTAGTAATCACCAGGGGAAGTCAAGAGTCCCACACTACAGTTCATTTACTATATGGTGAACTGGACAGGCCATTTAGACTTCCAACCCTCAGTTGTCTTTCTCATTTGCAAAAAAACAGATTGAAAAAATCAAACCCTTCATGGCCCTATAAATGGACAACTCTCATTAGATAAATTTTAAAATCATTTAATATAAGATCTGTTTAAAAGTTAGGGTGAAAGAGTATAAAAGGTTCTATTAATGAGCTTAACAAACTGACCTACAAATGAAAGTACATCAATCAATAAGAAAACAGCACTTAAGCCTTAACAGCCTCTTATACTTGTGTTTTCCTATTCAGCTGCCTACTTGTAGCCAGGCATGTGGCCTCACAGCTGAACTATTTTAAAAGAACACCACACTCATTTGCTCAGCACAATAATACTTAACATTTATACAGTACCTTTCATTTTCAAGGTACTTTACAAACATCAGTTAATCACTTGTCACACAATTTGCAAGTTAATTTTCATTAGTCCAATTACAAGTGGACTAGATTAAATTAAAACAGTGAAGGCAGGCCACAGAGGGAGGATCAGAGCCAAGGTGAGAATGCTGGGGGCTCTTTACTGCCTATGCTCATAATTTATTTGTAGGTGAGAACTAGCCCTCACCAGGAAAGCACTAAGTCACTAGAAATGGAAAAAATTGCAATTTCTGAACATCTTACTGAAGCTTGCCACCAAGAGCCCAAATGCCATATAAGGAAAGAGATGAAGTATTATAAAGGCTTATTTACACCTCCCCTCAAACATTCTATATACCAAAAGAGAAAAGCAAGCCAACACTCAGTGACTCCATTTTCAAAAAAAGTTTTCATTATGTTAGTTCATTGCTGTAACAAATACTTGAGATAAATCAGCGTGTGTGTGTGTGTGTGTGTGTGTGTGTGTGTGTTTTACTGGAGATAGCTTCCTGGGCTCCATCCCCAGGCCTTATTTATTTATTTAGGTACTGGGTATTGAATCCTGAGATGATTTACCACTGAGCCACATTTCCAGCCAGTTTTTACTTTGAGACAGGGTTTCAATAAGTTGCTTAGGGCCTCACTAAGTTGCTGAGGCTGGTTTTGAATTTGTGATCCTCCTGCCTCAGGCTACTGAGCTATTGGGATTTCAGATGTGTGCCACCACACCTGAACCCCATCTTTTTAAAATTTTGAGATGGGGTCTAACTCAGTTGTGGAGGCTGGCCTTGGTTTGTGATCTTCCTATTTTGGCCTCCCAAGTTGCTGGGATTTCAAGTATATGCCACCACACCCAGCTTATTAATCAACTTTTAAGTAAGAAAGGTTTATTTTAGCTCATAATTTCAGAGGTTTCATTCCGTGGTTAATTGAGTCTGTGGCAAGGTAGTACATCATAGTGGGGCAAAGATGCTCATCTCATGGAGCCAAGAAGCAAAAAAGACAGGGAAAGAAGAGGCCAGGGTCCCAATATCCCCTCCAAGGGTCTATTATACCCAATGACCTAACTTCCTTCCACTAGGCCTACCTCCTTAAGGTTCAACCATCTCCCAATAGCATATATGCGGGCAACTATGCCTTTAGCATATAGGTCTTTGGGAGATAGTCCAGATCCAACCTATAGTACATTACTGTAATTCACATGAATTTTGGCCTTTTTATTATACTTTTAAAGGATAAAGTATTTTCTAGAATGTGTTTTGAAGGCATAATCATACCCTAATTGCATACCTACTCTCTCTATAGAGAATAGTTAAATAAGCTTCTTACTGAAGCTTATTTTAGTTTTAAAGGATTTTATAAATGAGAAAAATACATCTTAGACATCAAGAATTTTATACAATGGGAAGCAATTTTATTGTTTTCTTGTGATTTCTCTTTTATCCCCAATGTTCCAAATGTCCTCAAAGTACGTGTAGAACCTTTTTGGTAGAAATAAAAATAAAGAATATTATTTTAAAAACTAACCAATCTGCCATTTCAGTACTTCTGATTTACAGACTAGGAGAGGGAGGAGTTTGGTATAAAAGGTTGATGAATTTGATAGTAATTTTAAAATGTCAATTTGTATAAACCTGAAATTATATCATAATTTTTTAATATGGAAGAAAAAGATGCCTCATCTTAGTAATTATTCAGTCATAATAAAATGTGATCAGCAAAGGAAGCATTATATGGAAATTCCTTAGATTAAAATAGGTTTTCTACTTCCTTTGTATTTCTCCAGAGTGTCTTGTGTACAAATGTACACACACAGCATACAGCTCATTTCTTCTAAGACATAGAACTAGACCATTTTATTTTGTTTTCAGTATTAAAAACTTGCGTCAAATTTTGGCATGTACATGAGTAAACGTATGCTATAAAAGTGCTCTTTAAAAATTAATGTTAAGCCATTTTCATTTTAACATTTATTACAAATCACATTTTATAAACACTAGATAAATTACATATAACAGCTACACATAAATATGCAGAAGCAAAACAAAACAGCAGTATTTTAACACAAGAGAAATAAACTAATATGTGTAAACATGTACAACTTAATAAAATTACTAAGTCTTCATTGCTATTTTTTATGAATTCAGAAGGTATTCAGAAACAAATTTAGTACATTGATTACTATCAAAGTTTAGAATTATAAAAACAACTATCATAGCACTACTTATTTGTAAAAATCTTTTCAAACAGTCAGAATCCAAATGACTGTCTTTAAAGACAAATTAAACTTGGCTGAAAGCTCTTATCCAACTGAAGAATAGAAAATTAACTTTGGTTAACAGATACTAAGTTTAGTGGAAAATCTTAAGTCAACATCTCCCTTATGTGTTAGTTATATTCCTGAGTTTTTGCTAAAATATGATAGATAAAAGAACTCAGTTCATAGCTTTGCATAAAATTGTATTTTAGGTTTGAAAAAAGTATGATTATTTTAAATATGAATAGTGCTTAATAATATAATTATGAAAGGAAGGAATATAGTTAATTTAGCTTAAGAGAAAAGTTAATGTCCTCTTGACCACTATTTGCAAAGATCATTGGTAAATTATGATCCAAATTATATTAAACATTTTTGTTTATGCCTTATGAAATTATATTGATTTTGTAGAATAGAAATTAAATGATTCTATAGAAAGAAATTAAATGATGCAGTGCTAATAGCACGAGGCCAGGCACAGTGTAGATTCTCAATGTTACATACTAATTTAAAGTGAAAATTTTTTTAATGTATTATTTCTGCATGTTAACAAATTCCATATAGTAATTATAAGTTAACCTGAATATATCCAAAAACATTTGAAACATGAAAATACATTTTCAGTTAACAGTCATAAAAGTAATTCTTACAAGTGGCCATTTTTGGTCTTAGTTTTATCAAAATAGAATTAAATTTCAGATTCTTTTTAAAAACAGTGCCACAAAAGCCATTTTCCTATTAGCTGCTGTATGAGTTGTGGATGGCAGGTTCAGTATCTTCTCACAAGATCAACCCATCAACACCTTCTGAATTAATTACTTTAGATCAAATCATACTCCTTAAGTTTCTCCTAAAGACTGAACCTGTGCATCTGAGGATTAGGTCCAAGAATGTGAGTAAAAATGTGAATTTCTGAACAAGTATATCTCCCTTGCATCCTGGAAAATTACTATGGTCAGATGGATTTGAGAAATAATGCTTTGACACAACCAAAATGATTTTACCATATTGACCATTACTTGGCATGAATGGCAAATCTAATGAAAATCAAATGTATGAAGCTTTTCAATAACCTGCATAGCTTATCATCATATCTAAGTATTTCTTACCTAAAAGCCACAAGGTTATGTTCTAATTATCTTGATAGCCCAACAAGAGCTGATCAAACAGCAATTACCTTTGTAAAAACTGCTGGTGATTGGGCCTCTATAGTCTTAGTGTTGCATATACTATTTCTTACTAAGAAGTATGAGTCACCTAGCAGTTGTATTAAAAAACTAAACAAAGTGGAATTTATTCAAATAGTCATACTACTTATAAAGTAGTTTTTAAATAGCTATACCAACATTAGTTAGTAGTTATTTGCAAAGCTGGTTATCACATGCCTATTTCTTCTTTTTCCTTTTGAGATGGAGATCTCACTATGATGCCCAGGCTGGACTTGAACTCCTGAGCTCAAGTGATCCTCCTGCTTCCACTTCCGACGTAGCTGGGACTACATGCACACACCATCATACCCAGCTTTCAAATGCCTATTTCTTTAAAAAACTCAGTTTACAAATTATATTACAGTATTATATCAGTTCCATGTACAAAATGTCACTAGTCATATAATACAACTAGGAGGCAAATATTTAACTGGATATGTATACATGAAAAAATGTGCATATGTTCATTCTAATTTATCAACTAGTAACAAATATCTCTAAATTAACAAAAAAGATAAAATAAGCCATGAAATGTATCCCTAACAAATATCATGGAGCACTGAGGAAAGTTGGAAAGTTTAAATTATTAGAGATTTGAAAGAACATTTAATTAGGATTAAAATCACAAATTGATAGCCACTTACAGTTTTTAATGAGAGTATTATTTGCAGAGCAACAAAATCATAAACTCATTGAAGTAGGTTAAATAGTTTTTAAGCTGATTAAAACTACTTAATTTAAATGAACTATTTCTGAACCTCAAGTAAATGATGCTATATTCAACATGTTATTAAAAATAACCTTTAGCAATTTCAGCATTAGTAAAAATTACTGCTAATACAGAAAAGCTTATTATCAAACTCTATGCACAGAAGTTGGAAAAGGCTTAATACCAAGTCCTTGGTTCCACATTGCATTTCATATTCCCATCTGTATATCAGCAAAGTTGTAGAAGCTGTCTACATCTCCAGATGCTTTTTCCTTGTTTTCTGATACAAACATCTATTTTAAATATAGAAGAAACAAAAATAAATATTGTGACTCTTAAAAGCCACATCACCAACAAAACAAAGGCACAAACTTATTATTTAAAAGGAATTAAAATATATCATTTATAATATTTAATCTGTAGATTTTCTGTAGAATCCATTCAATATCATTTCAATAGCTGCAATGTAAATTAAGCTCTTGTAAAAGCACTTATGATATAATTAAGGTCTTCATTTTCATAATACTTCAGTTTTATTTTATTATACCTGGAATCTTACTGTTTAATGCAAAATATTATGAAAGCTACTGAATAAGAAAGCTTATTTAAAGAAAAAGTACTCTTTGTTTCTTGTATTTTGTAATAAGAAATCTCAATAGTCTGAGAAGAAAAATTAAAGATTATGTTTTCAAAGCTGCTAAAGATGTTATTACTAATTTTGTCTTCCTTATTTTTCATGGTACTGGGGATTGAACCCAGGGTCTCCTGCATACCAAGGAAACACTCTACCACTGAGATACACCACAATTTTTGGAGACAGGGTCTTACTACATTGCTCAGGCTGGCTTCAGACTCCAGGGCTCAAGCAATCCTGCCTTGGCCTTCCAAGTAGCTGGGATTACAGACATGTGCCACTGCACCCATTATTCATTACTAATTTTAAATGAACTATTTTCTGAACATCAATAAAGCAGTACTCAATAGAACCATTCCTACAATATTTACAAATATTGGCCAGGAAGGAATTAGAGAAGTCCTGGGTTCTATTCTAGCTTTATCATAAGCTAGCTGTATGGTGTTGGAATTTAATACGCTTCTCTCAGCTGTTTCCATACATGTAAAATGAGAAAGCTGGATGATATGCTCTCCAAATCTTTCAGCTCTAAAGTGACTCAGTCATATAACCATTTTATCTCTCGGTTTCCTTTTATATTCAATCTGGTATTTCCCCTCTCCCTTAGTACTATTGTGATAATAAAATGAGACAGAAGAAAAAAGTGCTTTAGATTTTGCAAATTCAAGATATAGGACAAAATAAAAAACTTCCTCCCAGATATTTATCAAGAAACAGCTTGGGAGGCTAAGGCAGCAGGATTGTGAGTTCAAAGCCAGCCTCAGCAAAAATATGGCTGGGGAAGTGGCTAAGTGGTCGAGTGCTCCTGAGTTCAATCGCTGGTACCAAAAAAAAAAAAAAAAGCCAATTACATATTCATTCATTTAATCCTCTTTTATATGTTTGGGTTTTTTATTATATTAAGCTTTTCATTAAAGGTTTTATTGAAAAACTTTTAAGCATACAAATGCAAAAGTTTATAGTGACTTTTTTTACTTTAAAAAATTTCAGTTTAGTTATATACAACACCAGGATATACCCTGACATAATCACAGAAGCATAGAACACAACCCACTCCATTTTAGTCCCTAGCACTCCCCCACAACTCCCTACTCCCCTCCCTCCACTCCAGACATCCCTCTTCAATTCATTTATATATATATATATATATATATATATATATATATATATATTTTTTTTTTTTTTTTTTTTTTTTTTTAAATTAGTGTCTGCAACGATACACCCAATGTCAGGCCCCTCTGTGCCTCATCTATGCACTCACATATGAAAGTTAAGTCAGATTCATTCTACTGGTTTTCCCGTTTCCTGTCTGTTCTTCCTCCTCCTCCTCCTCCTCAATCACCTTCATCAACTTTACTGATCTTTCTTTTATTTTGATGAAATTCCTTAAGTGTAAAATTCTTAGAGCAACCTCAGCAACATACCACACTTAGAAAATGCCCACATGTGATATTTCTAGATAGTCCTCAAGTTCAAATTTTGGTGATAAATTACTGAAGCAAATAAGAATGATCTTGTGTAACAAAATTGTCCATCTAAAGAATATAATTTTAGAAATAAAATGCTTTTCAATATATAATATTTTTTAAAATGCAAGGGACATAAAGAGATATTTGATGACATTTTACTTTAGAAACTTTTACTATGTACTATTGAAGGTTTTTAATAAGCATATTCTTAATTTCTAACCATTTAAAACAATTAAAAATTTTAGTTTGGCAAGGAAAAAAATCAAAACTAGTTCCCAATTATTTACCATAGGTTCTAAGAATTATGATGTGCTGTTGCTTTTAATTCCAAGGAACACCAAAGATAAAAATACTACTTGATTATAAGGAAAGGAGATGAAAGTAAAGTTTAGATTGAAATATAGTAATGAAGTCTTGTACCTTGGTCCCATTGAATATCTCATTTACAATATGTTGACATCCTTCTACAGCACCATCTCCATTAAACTCCAAGGCAATCACAGGACCTATAAGCAAACCCAAGAAGTGTTTTCTTAGTATGAACACAAATATATTCTAAAATTAATCTTTGTATTCTTCCCTGAAGAATCTCCAGCATTTTCCTTGGGGGCGAGAGAAAAGGAAGAGGGAAGTAGACAGATGGGGCTTATCATCTCAGTTTCTTCTTCCTACACTAATCATAAAACAAATTAACATCGTCTCATTTCATGATGAATAGCTGCAGTGCTATTATAGGACTAGTGTCACATTTTTAAAGTGTTGTAAATAGCCTGGCTTTTCTGGGGTTTATTCTTCTATAAAAGCCACAGGATCTACACTGATTTAGCAGTACAAAGAATACTTGATAAAATAGCAAATAAGATCAAAAGCAATCCAAGTCAACATAAGTAGGTCTTGCCAGGCAGCCAGCCTTGCTTCCAACTCTCCTACTTACCAGCCAAGTTTGGGGCCATCAACAATGGAGCTAAGCCAAATAGGAATTGAGGCAAGGCACCAATGCCCATATGAAAGTATTTTCCTTGAGTGTGTCTCAAAGCTACATTCTAGGAACAAAGATCTTTTTTTTTTTTTTTTTAAATCCTTTGAATAGAAGGATGTGTGTCTCCTTTTCCTTACATTAATTTGAACAATTTAAAAACTCTCTGTACCTTAAATTTTGGGGTAGAGATTCATGATTTCATCTTTGGTAAGCTTGGATTGAAATGTAGAATTGGCACTACTGGTGTTAAATTGCTGGCAAGCATAGCCATAAATTACACGAGCAAAACATGCCCTTTAATTCAATTAATACTTATTCAAATTTCACTGCATCCCTAACAGATTTAATTTTTATTTCCTACAGTGATTGGGAAGTCCTGACCTCCAGGGAATTACAAATTTCTTTTTAAAAAGACATAATCTCATTAAACAAATACAAAACAACATAGAATAATGAAGTACTAAGCATGAAATATCAAGGTGAATCAGTATGGAATACTAAGTTGAGTGTAGCCATGTGCCACAGGACAAAGCACGAGAATGAGAAAGAAAAGATCACACTACATGGGGCACCAAAATAACTGAAGGCTTATGATTTAATACAGACAACATATACAGAAAAGGCAGGATATATAGCAGTCAACTATGCACTTAGACACGGAACAAATTAAAGTATGAGTTTTTCAGCATCACAGTGTATAGATCAAGATAAGTACTGGGTAAAGAAAAGAGGGTAACTGGGGACATTTTTTTTTTGCTCTCAGCAGGCTCTGTGAAGATAACATTAAGAGGGCATCAAATGGAGCAAGAGATAAATGAGGTAAAAGTAGGAACAATTCTAAAGGGAGGCTTAACAGGAAAAGGTTCTTAGTTTAGAGAACCTACTTCAACTCATGGATCTGTTTAGAAAGTTTGATTGTCATGTAAAAAGATAAATGTTGAGGTAAAAAAACTAAGAAGTGTTATGGTTTGGATTTTAAATATCCCCCCAAAAGCTCATTTGTTGAAGGCTTGGTCCCCAGTGCAATAGTGTTCAGAGGTAGGGCCTTTGGAGGGTGACTGAATCATGATGGCTCTGACTACATGAATGGATTAACCCACTTATGGATTCATAGCTTAAGGGGTTTAAGGGGTTGGGGCCTTGTTATAAAAGTGAGCTCTCTCTGTTTCCTGGCCACCATGAGGTGAGCAGCTTTGTTCCACCATGCACTCCCCAGCATGATGTTCTGTCTCACCACAGGCCCAGAAATACTGGAGGCAGATGGCAGTGGACTGAAACCATGAACCAAAATGAATCTTTCCTTCTTTAAGTACTCAGTTATGGAAAGCTGACTAACACAAGGAGAAAAGAGGGGGCCAGGTGGAAAGGACAGGAATAAGTGAAACTGCTCTGAATATACCTTTCTAAATATATTTTTGACACTGGATATCATATCAACACCTCAAAAAACAAAATTAAATATGGGGGCTAAAAAGCAAAAGCAGTTCCAAAAAGTAAAAACAAGCTGAAACAAATGAATCTAACTGCATATTAAGTTAGTGACATGACCACACAGAGAAAATAATTATTCCAACCAACCTTACGAGGCAATATTTTGCCTGTACACCCTCAGTGGAATATGGTCTAAGGATAAAAAGATAGAAGGAAATCTTAAAATTTCAGTAATCTCAATTTTAGTAGTAAAATTTGCTGTTATTCTGAAACTATTACATGCATATTATAGGATAAGTTAAAGCATATTATAAGGAACCAAGATTTTCAGAACAAAAGTATTATAAAATGAAAAAAAATTAAATAAGAAACATATTAGCTGTGAGTTGGTGCTATAGTTTGGATATTAAATGTCCCCCAAAGGCCCATGTGTTAGAGGCTTGGTCTTCAGACCATGGTGCTATTTAGAAGTAGTGTAAACTCTAAGAGGAAGTGCCTAGTGGGAGGTCTTAGGTCACTGGGGGCTTTCCTTCAAAGGTGATTGTGGGACTCTGGTCTCTTTCTCCCTTTCATTCCAGCCCATGAGGTGAACAGGCTTCCTCTGCCACATGCTCCTGCCATGGGATGCTGTGCTCCAATAGGCCTAAAGCAACAGGGCCAATTGGTGATGGGCTGAAACCTCCAAAACTGTGAGCCAAAACCAAACCTTTCCGTTTTAGTACATTGATTATCTCAGGTATTTTGTTACAATAATGGAAAGCTAACTACCGTAGTTGGGAATTGTTAAAGCTGGGTGATAGGCATGGGGGTTTGTTATACTATTCTGTTTTTTTATATTTAAATTTTTTTCATTAAAAATAAAAGATCTGGGGGCTGGGGTGTGGCTCAGTGGTAGAGCACTTGCCTGGCATGTGTCAGACACTGGGTTAGATCCTCAGTACCACATAAAAATAAATAAAAATAAAACAAAGGTATTGCATACATCTACAACCAAACATTTTTTTTTAAATAAAAAAAGATATGACTGGCAAGTTTAGAAAGGTCTTGACAGAGAAGAGCTTCCTATATATTTTTTAATAAAACACAGCTAAGTTAACCTTATAAAAGAGAAGCCTATAATCTTAATTTTTTCATTTAGAAATGTCAATGTGAACTCATGATCTCTTTTGCTTTAAAACAAAAAAAAACCTTAGTTCTGGCTGAATCTACTGGTAAATACTAGAAGAAATGACAACCCAGTAATAAGTAGCACCTGTATTTCTAAACATCATTCTCCACTAACAAGAACTAAATAATTTTTAAAAATAGATAATTCCATGTCTAGGAAAAGAAATGGATTAAGATCAACCTGGAACACCTTTTTTTCTGGTACTGGGAATCAAACCCAGGGTCTCATACATACTAGGCAAGCAACTATATTTTCAGTCTGATTTGGAACATCTTGTTGAGCCAAAAAGCAATGAAGCTATCAAAGGCTAATGGAATTATATCAAAAGGACACAGAAACCAGTCTTAAGGGGCTCCCGCTGGCCAAAGATGAGACATGGTAAATAATTCCTGCAGTTTATTAAAACACTGATATATAAAAATTCATGAGTTCATAATTATATTTAGAAAAAGAAACAAAACTCACCGTATACCACTGGAGGCTGCCAGGGTACCAATTCATTACTGTCAAAATTGATGTTTATTTTTCTCTTTATTTATTCTGCTTTTCTAATATGAAGCATATTTCAAGTTATCTAAACACCTCTGGCATACAAGGAGAAATTCTGTTAATGTCCATTAATAAATGCAGACAGAGGTAGTGATACAATTAGAAACTGGTCATTTTGCAAATCCTATTAAAATAACTGGTTTAGGCAAAAATCACATTGTTTTCAGCATCCTATAGGGATACTAAATTGATAAGGTCATTACCACCTGAATCTACTGATCAATTTTAGCATGGCTGAAAGTACAACAATCAAACATGATTTACCTTCTCATTTAAAGCAAAAGAAAATAGTACTGCCTATGAAGAATTCTTGCCAATAAAATAATTAAACCTGAATGTAAATAAGGCTTTGATCTAACTTCTAGTCTATAAGAAAGATAGAAGAACAAATTAGTCCCAAGAATACTAAAAGACAGTTGACCAACTGTTTTCAACAAGACAAAGGCATGAAACAAAAAGAGGAGGAAGAATATCTGTTTTTGGTTAAGAGATAAATACAAAACAACCAATTACAATGAGTGGGCCTATTTTGGATCTGGATCAAATTAACTGTAAAACTACATAAAGAATTCTGTTAGATAATTGGGGTAATTTGCATACAGACTGGATATTAGATGATCTTACAGAATTATTGCTAACTGTTAACTGTTAGATGCATTGTGGTTACTTAAGAAAATATCTGTTTTTCATTTTGTTTTCTTTCACATAGACACTGAAATGCTTAGGGATGAAATGACAGGACAAATCAAAATTTGATTAAAAAGAGATTATAGATTTTAATTTTTGTACTGGGGATTGAACCCAGGGGCACTTAACCACTGAGCAACATTTCAAGCCCTTTTTATTTTTAATTTTGAGACAGGGTCTCACTAAGTTGCTGAGGCTGGCATTGAACTTTTGATCTTTCTGCTTTCTGCTTCAAGCCTCCTGAGCCACTGGTATTACAGACATGTGCCACTGCACCAGGCAGATTATAGATTTTTTAAAGAATGAGAAAAAGGTAAGAAACTAGGGGATGGGACACATGGGGTCATTAAACTCTACTTTTGAGTAGAGGCAGTACATAAGGAAATTTCCAAAAGCACTGAAATAAAAAGCTGTTAATAAAATGTAGGATTCCAGTTTCACAGAGTAGAAAGTGTGAACTAAGGTGGAATAGAGAATACTTTTATTCAGAATTACTACAAGAAAGCACTGGATTTTTTTTTTAAGTTTAGGCATTTATTACTGAAATTTCCTGTTTTCTATAAGGAGAACAGAATGTAGAATACAGAAATACAATTTTAGTAGAATTACACAGGCATGCAATTTAGTTAATATTCTTTAACTAGAATATAATGAACTTCTAATAAGCAACATAATAATATTCTGATGTACCA